ACAAGCAAAGGGCTTTGCAGGAGGTATTTACAGCTACACCAGCATACCCACGCCTCCTCCTCCTTCATCAGCAGATACTTGCATTGCGGAGTAATTCAGTGCCCCAAAAAAGAGCAACCACCACTCCACACACGCACTTTTTCACATATTTCAATGTTATTTTTCAAAGGTAGGTACGGTAACATCGCATGCTCTTAGAGCCAAATTCATGTATGTTTTCTGTTACCCAACCTATCCCACCTAAAGCCGACTCCATTTGCTCAGAGTCAGATCTTCCTTGGTGGACAAACTTTCCTAGACAAGACAAACTGCTAGACCATCTTCTCCAGCTGGAGGCTGAGGTCCTGGCTGAAATCTCATTCCATGGCTTTTGTGAAAGTACGGAGACACCAAAATGCCCAGTGAATCTGGGAAAGCTGATGGACATCCACGGGGCAAAACACTGCCCATAGCACAACGCCTGTGCCTGTCAAGCCTTGCTCTGAGAGCTGACGTAGGCTGGGCGTTCGCTGAAATCAGACCTAACTTCCACCTTGCCGTGTTTCCGCGAGCCAAGGTAAATAAGCTATTGCAAAGACCAAGACGATTGGAGGCAGTGCAGCCGGCAGGGGTGAGCCAAGCTCAGGCCTTGCCGTGCTTTCCAGGGTCCTCCCCAAGCTCTGCTCCCATGTGCGTCTCCCTACAGACACACTGGGTTCACGGGCACTACAGCATCCAGCTCTTTTAGGCTATGGCCTTAACTCCTGAAGTCATGGATGTAAAAACTTGGTCTTAACTTCTCCTCACTGAGCATTAGGACAGCATCCCTTCCCCAGACTCCATGATTTTTGTCCCGATTGCTTCTTCCTCACCTTGCCTCACCTTGTGACATTTATTGGAGGGGTGTATCAGCTACGCTCCCAAAAGCTAATATTAATTGTACAGATACGATACACGCTGGCATGTAAGAGGTGATGTAGCTGAAGGGATCGATCCTTCTGCATAGGTTGGCTGCACCTTTGGGCAGGTGCAATAATGCCCCGCTTGCAGAAGGCCACAGCTAAAACTGCGAGTGTGCTCCTGGAATAGGCTTCCCTGCTGCTTCACATCTGCAAAAAGCTCATCTCTAACTGTGAGCCTGGGAACCAGCGCTACAGAGGTGATTCCGAGCTAAACAAGACTGCAAGGACAGACCAAGAAAACGAGCACCAAGTTTCAGGTGCTCATGCTCCTGAAAGACAGGTTGCCAAAAGCCAGCTGTTGGCAAGAGGGGCAGATCAGGCTCAAACGGGGCAGACCAGGTGCAGCAACCGCCCGGCTTTGCGGCTCGGCACCTGTGTTTGCATCAACAAGGCAGAGGCAGAACAAAACTACTGGCTGTCGAGCAAGAAAGACCACACTAGCTTCGGGGCTCCAGCTGCAACTTGGTCAACCACTCCCACTCGCTGACAGCTCTGTGGTCCAGGAACGGTCCCTGGTGAGCTGGAAGACACCTTGCACAAGGACCAGGACACTCTTTGTCTTCTCAGCCAGCGGTGAGCCCCATGCAGGTCATGACAACGCCATGATGAAAGGTTTGTCCTACTTAGACCAGACGCAGAGCCCAGCTGAGCTTTGACTGCCAACCCTTCACCATCACAGGAACAGTGTGGGAGACCCACCACCCAGAAGGTCTCACCAAACAGCAGTCTTGTTTGTGCAACACACTCAAAGTATTGACAAGAAACTTCCCTGGACCTACAAAGCTTCCCTCCTGGGATGGACTCGCATTTCGGCATGCCTGGCGGTGCCTGTGCCCAGCTTCATGACAAAGCCAACCACGGTGTTATCAGAGCGTGCCACTGTCTGATCTCAGCTATGAAAACATTGCTACAAATCTAGCAGTATTTCTGAAACAGTAGCTACAATATGCTTTTATTAAATCCAGTTAAGCAGTGTATTTGTTTAAAGTGGGCCCACCCATAGCTCCACACACATTAATGCCATCAGTTGCTTCAAGCAATCGCCTAGCATTACGCCCCTCGCTGTTGAGGTTATTTCCACAATAGTAATTAAATCCTCATTAACAATTTTCAATTATAAAATAAATCAAATGTAATAGCCTACATGGGAAATCTCAGACCATATTCAGGGAGCCCAAAGACTTTCTGAAAGGAAGAAATGTTAAACACCACAGACAAGCTTCTTTTTTAGTCTGGAGGTCAGTAGAGAGACTTGTCCAACAGGGATGTTGACAACCACTTGCAACCTCTGGCCTAACCACCAAGCACAACCCAGGTGCGGTGGCCGCAAGCACAAGGCTGTCTGTCACTGGGCACGTGATGGATTTCCCCTATTCCTGCTCATTTCTTGAACATCTCCTTCCCAGAGAGCCCTTTTGCCCAACGTGAAGGTGCTCTGAAGGGAACCTGGTGTGAGTTCTTCTCAGCTTTGCCCCTGCTTTTGGTGTTGTTACTAAAGCCTAAAGAGCAGATGTTCAAACACAAATACTCAACGCACACCGTTCTCAGCCAACAAATCTCTCCGATGGCACCTAACCCAGGTGAGCACCGTATCTCCTCACCACACTGACTTTTCACAGCCCAAGGACCTTGTCTCACTGCTGTTCAGTAAATATTCTTGTAAACCAATGACCCAAGTGCCAGAGGCCCCTAGTGACAATTGCATGGCTCCTAGTTCCCACATGCCAGTCTCCAAACCCAGTGGGCATTGCAGGACTGGCAACAGATCCTCCCTGGTTGCTCTTGGCCTTACAGAAGATCCCTTCTGCCCAGCCTTCTCCAGCGTTTACCACCTCCACCCCTTTGAATTTCCCCGATGGCAAAAAAACCCTGTCGTTCTGACAGTGAAACCATCAGTGCCATGGGCCATGGGTATATTTCAAGGAGAAAAAAGGCACCCATAAATCCTTTCTCACGCTGGAAATCAACTGGGTTTCTCCTCTTGGAGGCACTAACATGGCAAATCTCGAGCCGCTCCCAATCCCCCACGCCCAGCGCTCCTCTGAACTTTCCCCGAATCTCTCCCACATGAATCAATCTGAAGGCAAAGCTGGCAAAGCCTTCCAGCCCCCACCAACCAATTCCACCACTGTGCCATCAGGTCCCGCTTCCGTGCTGGTCTCCAGGTGCACCAGGAGAGCAGCTCCCAGTACATTCACTGGGAGAGGGGCTGCTCGAGTGACCACCCGTGCTTAGCTGGGGTGAAGGCATCACCTGTAAGGCTGCCCAGCTTTTTGTGGAGCAGCACAAAGTGACCCTGTTTAGCACTGTTCATTTTTCTCTAGGCTTGCGAGGTTTGGAGATTGGTTCAGATAAGCATCCTCAAGCTTGCACACTTATCTGCACCATCTCCCAAACGGCTTTGATCTGCAGGATTTGGCTGCAGCTCTCAAAGTTATCTTGAGAAAGCTTGTTCTGGGGAGAGTTGTTCTTCTGATTAACAAGAAAAAGCTTTCTTAGTGGCTTTGAGCATTTTCAGCCCTGGCTGGAGTCAGGGAGCGTAGCGATGTCTGCACACAGAGAGAAGGAAAAAGGTCAAGTGAGCTTCTCCTTAAAGCTTCACTTGGGCTCAGTTGTCATTTCAGCTAAAATTTGAGGTCAGTTATTTCATTGTCCTTCTTTTTTCCCCACTCTCGGTTTAATGCTGTCTCACCCACCCGACCGCGTGGGTCAGGTCAGTCTGTATATGCAGATTCACACCTTTGTGGCTTTATGTTGTCCAAGTCCTGTGCAGAACAACCGGGAGGAAAGCTGGCTGGACTGACGAGGAGAGCGAGTCACCGAAGGGCTGGGAGAGCTACACGGGGCAAGGGAGAGGGATTTGGTCAGTCTAGGGCAAGTTTTAAAAGATACAATATTGAATTAAAGAGCTGAAACAAATAGCCCCTCTCAAAACCTCCAGCGAAGGAAACACAAGCCACACGTAAGTACGTGTTAATTGAGTCAGATGCTAATTTTCCAGTTTACCTTCAGCTTGGCCAAAGCTTTAGGAAATATTCGTTGGACTGAAAAGTATAAAATTTAACTCCTGCTCTTGAAAAATGCCAGCGTGGATTTCCCCACTCTCAGCCCATCGTCACCCCACGCAAGATTTCTTCCTTGTGGGAACAACAAGGGAGGAGGAGGAGGGAGGCGGTATTAAGGCAAAGGAGGAATTACAGAATTAGCAATAAAGTTTATAGTGGGGAAACCACCCCGAACATATCCTGCTGCCCTCACATGAAAGATAAATATGCATTAAAAAAACACTACTCAGGGAGAGGAAAGAAGTGTGAACAGCAAAAATATGTACATGTGTTTTAAATAATTTTTTTAATTGTTGAGGCAGTAATACTTGGTTCATGGAACTGCAATATACAGAGAGGTGAAATAAATAGCTTATATATATATAATATATATAATATAGCTGGTTTTAAAATATTCCCTTATCATTGGTGTACTAGGTCATCTTGTAGTCACTTGAATGTATTTAGCAGCATTCTCCAGAACTGAGCATAATGCAGGATCACGGAGCCGTGACACCTTATGTCGTCAGAAAGGTTACAGAAGATCGATGCGTCGAGAACTCCACGGAAACTCAATCACTGCGGCACACACCATCTTGTCTTGGGCCGGCGTGCAGCAGACAATAAATAGATTACTGCAAAACCGGCACTTTTCGGGGCAGGGTGTCAGTAACTTTGGGAAAGAACTTTGGTTTTCTTTGGTTTTATTTATTTATTTTTAATAATTACTTTTTTTTTTTCCTCTGGGGATATGCTTGAAAAGTTGTCCTTTCCAAAAAAGCGAAATAAGCACCTGTGTGTCATCAACAACAAGAAGTCAATTTAAATAGAGCAGTTCATTTTGTTTTTCAAGTCACAATAAATCCCTAACAGCTTTTCCCCAGCGTTTGCCATCTAGTCTTTTATTACTTTTTTTTATTTTTATTTTTTTTTTAAACACAATGTACAAAAATAGAGCTTCTTCCTTATTTTTAATGTAAAAATATTCCTCCTGGTGCAGTTTTTTTTTTTTTGTGGTTTATTATTGTGACACTGTTTTTGTCTATTTTTAACTGGGGTTGGTGGGTCGTATTCTCTTAGTCCTCTTGGTGACTGTTGTGTACTTGAAAGGTTTCTGTATCTCCACTTGCCCCTTTGGGTACCTCTTCATAAAATGTACATCTTGCTGATTTTCCCGGGTCTTGGGCCCTTTCCGTGGCCTCCCTTTTTTGGTGAATCCAACATACCAGCCTGAATATTTTGCTGACATCAGTGCCGTATAGTTGTTTTCTAGGACTTTTTCAATGAAGACACACTCCTTGCTGGTGCCATCAGGCTGAAAAAGGAAAAAACAAAAAGAAAAAATTCATTATCCAAATGCAAGCTCAGTGACCAAAACCCAATTTGGCATAAATAAAATCATCACATCTGGACCTTGTTTTTGGTTCAAACATCGTTAATAGGAGCCGTAACAAACATCAGCTGAAATAGAAATGAATTTTAAAAAAAGCACGAAAGCATGAGGTCATCATTTCATTTTTTTTAAACACTCCTATCCAAGGAGAGAACGATTTTTCAAAGACAACAGTTAAGTTTATCCAGTCCAGCTCCTTCAATTGCAAGCAAAGCAAGACACTTAGCTTTGCTTTTTCCATTAGGAAAGGAGAATGAATTGAACTCGTGCCAGAGAAACATCATACTTAATCAGAAAAAAATTAAAAAATCAGGATCTCATATGGGCCAAACAACAGCATTGCCACTTCTACCGCTCACTTTTGGCATGTTTTCCAAAATACCTTATGGGCTTGCATCCATAACTACCCAAATCCCACTAAAATCATTACAAGCCTTAGTCTAAGCCTTCCCAGTGCTTTGAAAACTCTCCCTGGCAGCATCCTGGGCACGACACCTGGCAAATAAACCATGCGTGGAGCTCCGGGGATGAGCCGGAGGGGTGCCGCAGGCATCGAGGTCCCTGACCCCACGCCAGTCCCTGAATCCAACCGGTTATTTCGGAGCCGCATTGCACACCCCAGGCTTGGCTCCAACTCGCATCCCTGAGCGACATCAGCAGCGGAAAGGGCCGTTCCCACGCCGGAGCAGCTCCCGGGACGGGACGGCATCCTGCTGGCATCCCGATGCGACAGCAGCTGGAGGACTATGGGGCAGCAGTGTCCTCAGCCACCAGACCCACCCCAGCTCCACTGCCAGAGGGGGTGACACAAGTGCCCGAACTTACACCTCTGCTCTCTCAGGGTTGTTTTTTGTTTGGAAGAGGGTTTCGTTTCTGGTGGCAGAGGGGACGTGGTCCTTCCCCTTTCCCCACCTTTCAATCTCAGCCTAAAAGCAGCCACCCAGAGCTCAAGTACCTGGCTTAGGAAACCATGTCCCTAAACAACATTTTTCCTCGCAGAGGGAACCAGGATTAGACGTAGAACTGGAGGTCAGAACCTCCTGAGCATGAGTGTTTTTCCCCAACCACCCTGCAGCAAAACGCCCACCCTGATGGGACTCCTTTCCTGATGCAGCCTACTGCAAACCCACCTCCCCATCACTGTCATGGGCTGCTAGTTCCCCAACCACACGCTGGTTCGAGATTTTGGCAAATAGGGTGTATTGGGTTTGCGTGGCAAGGTTTTGGTAGCCAGGGGGGCTACAGGGTTGGCTTCTGTGAGAAGCTGCTAGAAGCTTCCCCTATGTCTGATAGAGCCAAT